CATTATCGGAAGTATGTTGTATCTTACAGCTAGTAGACCCGATATCACATTTAGTGTTGGTGTTTGTGCTCGATTCCAATCAGCCCCGAAAGAATCTCACTTGAAAGCCGCAAAAAGAATTTTGAGGTATATTAATGGAACGCCCGAACTTGGATTATAGTATTCTAAGAGATCATCAACTTGATCTAATTGGATTTACTGATTCCGGTTGGGCCGGATACTGTGATGACCGGAAGAGTACGACGGGAGAATGTTTTTATATTGGTGAAAATTTGATCAGTTGGAGTTCCAAGAAGCAAAGTTTGATTGCTTTGTCTATTGCTGAGGTGGAGTATGTAGCCGTTGGAAGTTGTTGTGCGCAATTGTTATGGATCAAGCAAATGTTGAAGGATTATGGAATTGAGAAGGAGTCATTTGTACTGTGGTGTGACAACCCCAGTGCAATCAACATATCAAAGAATCCAGTTCAACATGGTTGAACAAAGCACATAGAAATTCAATATCACTTTATCCGAACGCTTGTGGAAGCTGAAGTGTGCAAATTGCAGCACATTGGAACAGATTTTTAAAAGACAGACATCTTCAACAAAGCATTGGATTCATAGAGGTTTGAGAAATTAAGAAGAGAATTAGGTATGTGTTCATACCTTAACTAGTGCGGATTATTGAAGGAATTAAGTCCAATATTCATGGGATTTTATTTGGATATATTTTGGAATATTGGATAAATATAAGAAAGGAGAAATACTTGGCGTGATATTATTGGAAGGGAAATTTATAACCTTTTTAGAGTTATAGAGTCTGCTGCCTTGGGCAGTGTCCCGACGTTGAAATGTCGCTCTGACATCCCACGCACCTGAATTGATGGGAATTAATGGAGGTTGCGTGTGAAGGATTTTTGATTCCCCTGTGTCTATATCTTCGGATCAGAGTGCATATACATCACTCATCCTTTCTCTCCAAATCCTAATTTTGACTTGTGAAGGAGTTTTCTCACAAAATCTCCAACCATGGTGAAAACTCATTCCGATGGAGTTGCCAAGGAATTTAAGCCGAAATTTGTTTCAAAGAGGAAAGTTGGAACTAAAAAGAAAGGGAAGAAGCTGCCTGAACGCCTTTTCGTTGTTCTTGAAACTGTTCATGAACATGTGATTGAAGAACCTGATCGTGATGTTGAGATTCCAACAACTGATGTAGCCCATGATGAGGGAACCGTTGTCTCAGCTGCTGAAGATCGTTCTATTTCTGAAGGACTTGAAGGTCATGTAGCGAAACATGTTGTTGTGCACGAAATCGATCTAAACGAAGTTGCACCCATGGAAACTGCAGATGAAGATAAAGTCGCTGTTGAAATGGCTGGAGCACAAGAAGAAAATACTGAGGAGAACCCTGTTGATGTTCAAGAAGTTGAAACTGTTACTGGTGGTGATGCAGAGGATGCTACAACCATATAAGAGGCTCCTGCTATTGATGAACCTGAAAGTGAGGTTGTGCATGAAGAGGTATCTGCTGAAGATATTGAAGAAGTTGGAATAGAAGTGTCCCAACCTGTGGATATAAATTTTGAAGCTACAGAGGTGGAACAAGTCATTCCTGAAAATTTGGTTGAGGAAGGAGAAGCTTTTCCTGTGGAACCCCCCGAAATCGATGAAGAAGAAGATGATGAGTTGGACTCTCTTCGTCTATCCTCTGCTTTGGACAGACTCCGAAAACGAAAGCATGGCAGTTCATCTCGCAATGCCCCTGCCCCTGCTAAAAAAACTTTCAAAAGGACTAAGGCAAAGACTCGAAAGTCTAAAGGAGTTTTTGATCCTTCTGCTGTTCGTGAAGATAAAATGTTGAATGAGGCATATTATTATACTTCTGGGCGTCGCTATGCTCAGGATGTTTTTGCTGGAAGGACTGTGATTTCAGAAGCTCAGTTCATTCGGAGAGCGTATACCGATGTCGGATTCCGTGCGTTCCTTGAGGAAAGACATTTGTTGTTTTGGGCGACCGGATTGGAGTGTTACTATCCTCGCCTTGTCAAGGAGTTTTGTGCCAATTTTGAGTGGGAAGGTACTCGATCCGAACTCTCTCTAGTATCATAAGATATATATTCGTGGCCAAATTTTGGAACTTAGCCTGTAGTGATCAATGAGTTGTTACAACTGCCGGCGAATGATGAAAATAAGCTGCCATCTGAGCTTATTGATGAATCAACAAAGGAGGTTTCCAGAACCATATCTACTGGAAATGCTTCGTCATTTGGACGTTCTGGAGTGACTGGAACAATGCTGATGATGAAGTATCAGTGTCTCTTTCGACTTTGTGGATGCAATATTTTATCAACCGTCAACAATATAAGTATCAGCACTGATATGGGTACTCTCATCTTCTCTATTGATAAATATTTTGAGCTAATTAATTTTGGCTATTTGGTAATAAAAATGATGATTGACTTTTGTTCGGATTCAAAAGTGGAATGAACACGATTGCCCTATCCCGATTTAATTTGTTTGTTCTTGAGTTCCAAGGGAATTCATCCAGAACGGGATGAGGAGGTGTTTCCCATTCGATCATTTATTGCCCAGTCCAACCTTAAAAAGCTTCATAATGACTTTCTTCTCGGTGCCCCATTGGATGTCGATGCTCGTATAGAGAAGTGTAAGGCGCTACTGACTGAAGTCATGAGGGATCAATCTGCTCTGTCTGCTACTCTCATTGCTCATAATCAAAAAGTGGCACAGGCCATAAGGCTGATGCGTCGCAAACCTGGAAGTGTAGATGATGAGGACGCTGATGCAAATGATGATGAAGATGGTGATGGTGCGGAGGAAGCCGACCCTTGACCACCTCTTCTTGGCCTCTGCTGCAATACAAAGGGGAGAATGCAGCAAGCCAGGGGAGTGCGTTGAGGAGAATTTGGTTTTACCATCTACTATTTTCTGCCTGCTTTTGATAAACTGCCGATGTTTTTTTGTTGTTATAACATTTGGATGTTAAAGCCGCTTATGGCTTGTTCGAACTGATGGTCTGTAATAACTCTGAACCGGATTGTGATTGTGGTGTGGATGTGTGAATGGTGTGTGTGTTTGCTGCTTATTAAGCCTTGGTGCATATGCCAAAAAGGGGGAGATTGTTGGCATATTCAAAATTGTCAAACCCTTTTGTTTCTACTTTTGGCATATGAGCAAGTATGCAGGATGTTGTTGCAGCTTTTGTTTGACACCATTTCGGAAAACCTGCCAACTACAGAGTTGACCGAGTTACAGGTTTTGGATGCATCTTGCGTGTCCTACACTCGATGGAATAGGACAAACGAATATGCATTGGACAGAGGAAGTGCAGTAGAGGCTGCATGTATTGTCCTCTCATACTGCATGACATTAATTGCCCTGATACACTGCCCCAAAAGTTGACACACAGTCAACTTTGTCCTTTAGTGTGCAGGATTTGTATTTGGTATGGATTTTTGTTTGTTTTCGTGGGAGAGCAACCAGAATTTAGAGAGTAAGTATTCTCTCCCCCTGTTAGAGTGTTCAGAGAGATCATCCATGGAGGATTGAAGACGAGAAGAAGGATTCTTGGAGTCGAAGCCGAAGAAAATATTCATCCGGTAAACAACCTTATTCTTAGGTTGGTCGCTGGCCTGCTAAAGTTGTTGCGGTGGAGTAACAGCGAGTCCATGAGAACTTGTAAAACTAAATGGAGCTTGTGTAGAAGATAGATTGGATAGTTCGGTTAAGTGTTTGGTTGAGTTAAGACTCCTGGATTGGAATCCCCCCATACGTAGGTTGGAAAATCGAACTGAGTAAACAAACTTGGTTTATTGTTTTTCTTTCGGCACTTATTTAGCCATCGATTTCTGTATGAACACACACCTCTGTTATAATCGCGAGGCAACTACGTTGTAAAGCTGTGCCGGAATTGATCTGAGCTCCTTCATCTCCGGCAAGGTGGCTGCTGCCTGACTTTAGTCTGGTGGTGGGCCCTTATAAGTCGATCGTTCTTATCTCCCTGAGTCTTGGCTCTGGCTGGTGTATCTACTCGTTCTGTTCGAAGGTGAATCAAGTCGGAACTAGGGCTCAGTTTTTCTGCTCTTCCGGTGGACTTCCAGACTGATTGGCGGCGGTTCTGGGCTTCTCACACTTACAATTTCATCTTCCTGAAGTCTCCCACCTCTCATCTGGTCGAAGACGCTCAGGTAGGAAGTTCCTTCGTCGTTTTGCCTTTAACGGAGCTCCGGGTTTTGGCCGGTTCTGGGCAGCTTCAGCCCGGTTCTGGGCTCCTTGGGGCCTTCCTGGTGCTCGCTGGTATCTTCTACCTGGCCCTTGCCCAGGTGGTTCGACAGTCTCCAGTTCCAGTGAGGCATCGGTTTTCTTCTCCGGTGGTAAGGAATTCTTGGTGTTTGCTGCTTGTACTCTGGGTTCCGGTTTCTCAGAATTCATCCCATGGGTAGGAAAAAGAAACGAACTACTTACGGCCCTCTATCTCTCCTTGGAATCAAGCAGGTGACTAGTTTACAATCTGAATTACCATATGAATCACAAGCCTCAGAATCTCTGGACTCGGACAACTTGGAACCAGAATATTCGAATGATGCAACAGAAATGGTGATAGTGAAAGATAAAAATCCTGAAGATAAAAATCCTGAAGTTACAGGCCCTGTGAGTGTCCCTCAGGTTCAAACATGGGCTGAGAAGGTAGCGGGAAATCGGGATTTCTCGGCATATCAGGGGCAGACCTCAAAAAGTTCCCCAGAGGGGAAGTCTGTTCTATTCCGGATGAGGCTATTACAGCTGTGGAACAAGAATGGGGATATGGTCTTCTCGGCTATTTCTTTCCCCGCAGCCTTGGTTTGAAAGCGGTGGAGGAAATCGTTAAAGCATGGCCAGTTCGGGCAGACATCGTTCCGGCAGCTAAAGGCTGGACAATTTTCAAATTTCACTCTAAGGAGGAACGAGACCAAATCCTGCGGGGATGCCCATATGTCAAGTATGGCTGCTCTCTTATGTTAAAACTGTTGCCATCGTATTTCTCTTGCGAATAATGAGGTATACAAAGCGGCTCCAGTTTGGGCAAGGCTGAAAGGTGTGCCCCTGGAGTGTTGGAATCCGACTGCTTTAAGTATCATCAACTCATGGATTGGAACTCCAATTGCGACCGATAAAATCATAAAGAATAGGGACTGCCTTGCATATGCTCGTGTTCTTGTCGAGGTTGATGTTACCTCCTCCCTTCCAGAGTTTGTTGAGGTCTGGGCACCTGGAAACAGGTGTTTTAAAGTTGAGGTTGAATATGAAAACTTACCTGCATTCTGTTCGTTCTGCTCTATGCTTGGGCATAAATGCGATACAGAGGACCAACGACGAGCTCGAATTCAAAGACAAGTAGAGTTTCGACGACCTCCCCCTAGAACAGTCAAGACTCAGGGGAGGAAAGTGCCTCCCCCTGCGGGACCAGGCAGGTCTGCTCCAGTCCATAATGATCAACCAGTACCCCTATCGAATCGCTTTGAGGCTTTCGATCAAAACACAGTGGAGGACCTTCCAAACCCTGTGGCCGAGACCACTGCTGCCATTGCTGTTGACACTGAGACAACTGCTGCCACTGCTGGTGACACTGAGGCAGCTGACCAGGGCTGGGACGCCAGCAATCTGGCCCCAGAGGACGAGCACAAGTCGAAAGGCAAGGATTTATCTCCAGAGACAAGACCTGCAGGGTCCCTTTGTCATTCTCCAGCAGCTAACAGCAAGTCTGGATGCTCTTCTGAGGCATCTAAATCTTCTATGGCACCCCCAGATACTAATTTGATAACTGAGAAGAACTCGGTTAGCAATAATAATCAAGAGGGAGGTGACACAGTGGATCCTTCGAACAGCCAGAGGCAGCTGCTCCATGCAGAAGTCTCAGATAAACACCAACAGCTTGATAACCAACAGCAGGTTGATAACAGGCCCTACTTGAGCTCTCAAGCTCCTGTGACTAATCTTGTGGATCCCAACGGGCCATTCACTCGTAGAAGAATGAGGGATCAGGCCTCCGGTCGCAAATGAAAGTCGGAGCTTGGAATGTAAGAGGACTTAACCACCCCTTAAACAATTGGAAGTAGTTAAATTAATTAAGGAATCAGGCCTTCATATGCTTGGTATTCTTGAGACTAAATGCTCATCCGAATTTATCTCGGATTTTATGCGTAAGAAGCTTACTGGTTGGAGAACAATAGACAATTTTTGTACCATCAAAGGTGGGAGGATTGGCATCGTCTGGAACCCCCTGTTTGTTGATATTTTACCTATTGCTGTTAAGGATCAGTCCATCTCCCTGCAGGTTTTGAGCAGAATTAATGGAAGGACTGTTGTGATTACCTTCGTCTATGGGTTAAACTCCCTTGTCAAACGCCGATCGTTATGGAACAGCCTCATGGAGCTCGGCTTAAATCAGTCCCTCCCATGGATGCTGCCCGGACATTTTAACTCACTTCTTAGTCCTTCGGATCGCCATAACGGGAATGCTGTTAGGCCTTATCATTATCAAGACCTATTACACTGCGTTACATCCCTGGGACTCTCGAATCTCCCGTTCTCTGGCTGTAAGTATACTTGGACGAACCATCGGCACTGGGCAAAGCTGGATCGAGTCATGGTTAACCACTCATGGCTTGCGGATAATTTCTCCAGTCATGCCTCGTTCCTCCCGGCAGGTTTCTCAGATCACTCGCTGGCGGTTGTGTCTATTTTTGACTTAGATGCAAGGAAGGGCTCGCCTTTTCGGTTTTTCAACATGTGGATTGAGCACCCATCGTTTATGGACACGATCTCTTCAGCCTGGAATTTGCATATTGGAGGAACTGCTCAGTTCTGCCTTGTTACCAAACTGAAAGGTCTCAAGAAGCACCTGATTGACCTTAACAAGAATCACTTTTCCCACATTTTAGAGAGAAGCAGGGCAGCTCTGATTAACTTGAAATCTGCTCAGTAGGCCCTGGACGCCAATCCAGACTCAGCTGCTGCCAATGATATTGCCCAGCTCCGTGAGGATGCTATCAGACTTCAAAGGGCTGCGATAACCTTCGTCCAGCATAAAACGAATTGCAAGTATCTGGTGGAAAATGACAAATGATCTAAGACTTTCCACTCTTGGATTAAAAGGGCTGCTAAAAGAAATTTCATTGCTTCGATTGCCAGGGAAGATGGTTCGGTTACCTCCTCTATTTCTGAAGTGGTTGGAGAACTATCGAGCTTCTATGTCAATCTGCTGGGTTCGCCTATAGAAGTCGTTGATCTTGAGCAGGAGGTTATCGACTCTGGCCCTCTCATTATAGATTCTATTCATAGTGATCTCATGCTGCCTGTCTCGGACATGGAAATTCTTGAAGTCCTCAAATCGATGAATATCGACAAATCTCCGGGAAGCGACGGATTTTCAGCTGGTTTCTTTGTGGCTGCATGGTACATTGTCGGACCTGATATGACTAAAGTAATTAAGGATTTCTTTACTCATGGTAAGCTTCTCAAGCAAGTCAACCATACTAATCTTGTGCTCATTCCAAAATCGGCCTCATCCTCTCATGTGGGTGATTTCGGCCTATCTTTTGCTGCCCCATCATCTGTAAGATCATTTCTAAGCTGCTGGCCAATCGTCTAAAGCAGGGACTGTCGCATATTATCGATAATGCCCAAGGTGCTTTTGTTCAGGGCAGAAATTTAATGGAGAATGTTCTGCTCCTTCAGGAACTCCTAAGAAATTATTCGAGACAAAGGGTTTCGCCCAGATGTATGATTAAATTGGACCTCCGCAAGGCTTTTGATTCGGTCTCGTGGGATTTCTTGGAATCAATACTGCTCAGGCTGAACTTCCCAGTGCATTTTGTTCACCTAATTATGGAATGCATGAGCTCGGTCTCCTTTTCATTGTCAATTAATGGGAATTCCTACGGGTTGTTGAAAGGAAGGAAAAGGTTGCGCCAAGGAGACCCTCTCTCCCCATACCTTTTCATCTTATGTATAGAATACTTCTCCCGTCTTTTACGTCGACAAAGCGAGGAAAAGGAGATGAACTTCCATCCTGACTGCTCACAGCTCAAGATCACTCACCTTGCGTTTGCCGATGACGTCATTCTCTTTTCCCGGGGAGACTCGCACTCGGTTAGTATACTTCTGGATTGCCTTGAGAATTTTCGTAATGTCTCGGGGTTGACGATTAATCCCACAAAATCCAGTATCTTGGTAGCAGGGGCCACAAATGAGAATACGGAGGATCTTATCACCCTCACTGGTTTTAGCCAAGGCTCGATCTCTTTCAAATATCTGGGAGTTCAAGTTTGCCATGGGAAGCCTAGAGTGGAAGTTTTCAATGGATTAATCGCTTCAATTTCTAATCACATCCGTAGGTGGAGTGGAAGTCACCTGTCCTATGCTGGTAGACTTGAGCTAATTCAAACAGTAATTCAAGGCACGTGCTGCTTCTGGCTTTCAATATTTCCTATGCCTCCGACAGTGCTGCAACATATCACAAAGATATGCAGATCCTTCTTGTGGCAAAATAAATCAGCCCCGATTGCATGGTCGAAGATCTGCTCCCCGAGAAAGGAGGGCGGTTTGGGCCTGCGCTCACTGGAAATTTGGAACTCTGCCTTCTTGGCTAAATATCTCTGATCACTATACTCGAACAAGGAATCTCTTTGGATTAAATGGATGCACAACTGGTACCTCCGGAGCCAAGACATCTGGACGCTGGAAGTATCAAACCATCACTCATATTTCTTAAAATCTATTCTGTGGATCAGAGACAAACTGATTTCAGCTGTCGGTAATTTGGAGCAGACTCGAGCAGTGCTGTACAGATGTTTTGGTCGTGGTATTTCTGATGTCTCAGTTGTCTACGATTATCTTAGAGATCGGAACAGTAACTGGCAGTTTTTTAACCCCGTCTGGGACTACCCAATCCTCCCGAAACACTCTTTCATTCTGTGGCTGGCGGCTTCGGGTAAACTTAAGACGAAGGACATACTTGAGTTTCTGGATATTGATCGCACCTGTATCCTCTGCAAAACTCAATCGGAAAGCATCCAGCACCTCTTCTTTGCATCCATTCTCGTCGGAAATCTGGGCTGCAATTCGTTCGTGGATGCAGGCCCCAAACACCATGTGCTGCCTTGAGTCGGCTGCGAGTTGGATCAGCTCCAACACCTCTCAGGATCCCTCTCTCAGATTTCTTCACCATCTCAGCTTTGCATCAACAGTATACTACATTTGGACCGCACGTAACAAAAGGGCTCTTGAAAGTTTCTCGTTGGATCCCCGGATCTCTATAGATAAAATTAAATTATGCTCATATCGGATCTTATATTCTTTAAAACCAAACAGTAGACGAAACATGCTCTTTACTTAGTTTAATGTACAGGTTTTGGCTCTTTTGATCCCAAGGTGAGGAGACTGCTGTGGCTGCTCCACAGCTCCAGCTTTATGGAGTTTTGTTTACTTTAATTTTTATTAATTGTAGGGATTGACCATTTGGTGATGGCCCCTGCCTGGGTGCAGAATTTTATATCAATTAGTTTTGATTAGTCGAACAATTTTGAATTAGCAGCTGACAGGCTACTATTGATGGTTCCCTTTGAGTTGGTTGCTTTCCAGGTATGCATGGTGTATATGTATTTAACTATTATTATTTTATTTATTTATATATAAAATCCTTGATCTTTCCGATAAAAAAAATAAAAATAAAATTATATCTGAATTGTAATAAAAAATTATTAAAATTTAAATTGAATTAAAAAAATGATAAATAATAAATGCATGAAAAATAAAATTATATCTGAATTGTTTTGTATAGTATTTTTATTTTTTTTAATCATATTTAAAAATTATTTATTTGTTATACTCCCTCCGTCCCAATAGTCCTATTTATCATTTTTTTCCGTCTCAAAACAATAGTCTCATTTCCATAAATAATCATATCACTATAAAACTATCCTTACTTTTTTATTATTATTACACAATTGCCACTACTTTTTACACTGTTACAATCACAAGGGCAGAAAAATCTTTTACCCGTACTTTTTATCCATTATCAATATAATATCAATATTCTTTAAATCTCATGTTAAACATAATCTATACTATAGTTTTGGGACAGAGGAAGTATTATTTTAAATTAAAATATAATTATTTATTTAATTACACAAATATTTATAAAATACTAATTTACATTAATCCACATGCAAAAGTCAAATGAAAAATTTACTAATGAAAAATTTACTAGCAAACGGAAGGAGTATTAAATTTTTGTAAGCATATTTTAAGTGATTACTTTAAACCAATTACATCATTTAGCTTTTCTATCCAACTTATATCCACATCCATATTTAAATTTTTTTTTTTTTAATATTCATTGTAATTGTTACCTCCAACCTATTATTTTTACTATTTTATAGAATTTATTCTAATTTATTTATTTATATATATATATTTATTTTATAATATATAAATAATATTTATTATTAATAATATACTTTAATTTCAAGATATTGATATAAATTGTACGGAAAAAAATTAATTTTGGTCACAATATAATAAAAATTTATTAATTTTGGTCTCAATATAAAAAACTCATCAATTTTAATCTCACTTTAAATAATTTCAATCAATTTTGGTCCCATCGTTAAAAAATTAACGTAAATTACGGATGTGGACATGACGGAAGTGACATGGCGGCAGACTTGGAAACTACACGGTCATGTACAATTATACACAACCATGTAACAATATGGTCATGTATATTTCAGTGTATAATTATACATTGCCATGTTGTTACATGGCTATGTAACAATTCTACGCGGTCGTGTGTCTTTCTGTTTTGGTATAAAATTTTATTTTTTTGTTATATTTTTTATTTTTTTAAAATTTAGAATAGTTGATATAATTAAAATGGAAAAAAATCAATAATAATCATAATATAATTAAAAATGTATCAATTTTAGTTTAAATATAAACATTTATCGAGTATGTTCTTTTGGAAGATTTTGTCTAAAATTCTACTATTTACCCAAAAAAAAAAAAATCTCTTACA